ATATTTTGAAAGGTGTCATAACTGGGGGAGAGGAGGCTACCAATTAGTACCTTGAAAGAATAAACTATTCTCCATCTGAACAAATGTAACTCAGCTGGGGAGATCTACGATGACTGAGCTAATTCTTAAAAAAAGGCTCTTCTACCAGAGCAATTCCAGAAATGTTCACGATTCAGGTGGCCACACGCGGCCCTCACCTCACCTCGCCTCCCGGGCCGGCGCAGCTTCCGAGCAGCCTGGGCGCCGGCTCCTGGGCCCTGACGAGTGCTCCTTAGTCACAGCCGTCATCTCAACAGGTTCTTTCTGCTTCCGAGTAAAATTATCGAGAAGCCCAGAAAGGTTTCCCAGCTCTCAGAGTAAAATCCAGTTTTCCCTCCCTGGCCCTCGAGGTCCTCGGTGCCCTGGCTCCCCGTCGCCTGCCTGCCTCTCTCGCCCTTTGCCCTCTGCTCCAGCCACACACCAGCCGCGCTCGGGCCTTCGCTCTTGTTACGCTCCTCTCACCTGCACTGCCCTTCTTGCAGACAGCTTTCCAGCCACCTTCAAGTGCCACCTCCTTGGTCTTCTGGTCCCGTCTATTTACAATTTCAAACACCTACGTCTCCCTCAACTTGCTATCCCCCTTCCTTGCTTTATTATTTCTCCTTAGCATTTATTACTGACAAACAGAATATATTACTTTGAGTCATATGAAACTGTCAATATTTGTCCATTTTTTACCTACAAAAATGGTCATTTCATGTGGTTCAACCTGATACTTCACTTAGTTATTCTGATTGTTAATCCTCCTCCATTCTAAACTTTAAGCTCCACGAGGGCGGTGCTCAGAATAGTGCCTGGCACAGAGCAGACTCTTAAAACTTTATCGATGTCAGTGCAATTTGTTTTGCGATACAGTTTTTCTAAACCATAGTGCCCCTGGGGAGAAAGAGTAACATAACTTTGGCAGATGCCAATCAACAAGAATGAAGTTATCCCGGCAGGAAAGGAGATGCAGACTCTTGGTTGGCTGGCTTCTCCTGTCACACTGCCTGTTCCAGGCCTGTGAATCCCAGGGGCTAGAAGCAAACATATGCCCCAGATTCCAAATAGGCTTGATGACACCTGCTACCGAGACAGAATTAAAGTCCACGACTTCTCAGATGGGCACATCAGACAGCAGGCAAGAGAACACGGTAAGACATATACCAAGTCTGCTGCAAATGTGGCGTGGCTTTTCTAGTCATCAGTTTGGAGTGCACCAGGGACTTGTCAGCTGAGGTGTGCTCTGGATTGAGTTTCACATAAGAGCCACACCAGAAAATGGTCTGCTCTCCCCTGCAGCTCCTGAAGTGAGGCCAGCCTATCTCTGGGGCCTTTCCATCTCCTTGCCTTAATGCATCACCGTTTTGGTTGGTTGTGAATGTGTGTGGGGAGGGTGGCAGAGAAAATAAGGGACTAGTCCAGTGGGCATGTCATTTTCTTCTGACTGGCATCTCTTCCTGGTGCCTGGCTGAGCTGCTGGGAGGAGGAGGAAAGGCAGGCAGGATGATACTGGCCAACTACCCAAGAAAACAGCCACCACTACAAGAAACCACAGGCAGTTCAGAGGGCCGGTAACTTCTGCAGTGGCTCGACTTGATGATACCCAAGAAGGTACCATTTTCCCCAACCTTAAGAGATAACCTCTCCCTTGTATCCTGTCTTTTCTCTTGCTAACAGCCTCCCAGTTCATTGTACCAAGAGAACTAGAAGGTGCCAGCATATGCTCACCATGGGGTCACTTGGGGGATGACTCAACCTTATCTGGGGAAGAAATTAATTAATTAAGAAAGAAATTAATGAAAGGGAACGGATGGTTAGTCACTTGGACTACCCCACGGATGCCACGCCAGGCTGGAGACAGAGCCCTGACAATTTACCAAGGCTCACCATAGGGTGCTGGCTCTCTCACGGGCACCAGCTATCACACTGCAACACCCATCATGTCCCTCTGCCATTTTAGTAGTATTTTCCCTACCTGGAAGGAGCTTTCAGACTCAACCCTGGATTCCCAGCAGTTCTATCCTGCTACACAGGAATTTTTAGAGTCTATGGGTGACCTAAACACGTGGTTTGGGTTTAATTCAAATAATTAGGCTCCATGAGCTCTGAAAGGGAGAGGGCAGGAGCTGTGTTTCATGGCTGAGTTTCCAGTGCCTTAAAAAAGAAGGTGCTAAAAAATAAAACGAATGAAACACCCTGGGAAAAGTCAAGTCAGAGTCTTCCTGATCAACAGTCAGCACTCACTGTGATTAGACCAGCCACAAAATTATATATCTTAGGTAATCTCCTTGCTACTGCCTTGAAATCAAACAGTATGTTATCAAATGTAAGTTTTAATCAAATCCCTTAGGTGGGGGAAACAACCTCCATAATCTTGCCAAGCCTCCAATTCTGAAAAGACCAGGAGTTGCTGAATACAATAAATAATATTTTACCTGTCCGAAGGTGACCACCTCCAGCTTTAAGCATCCGGGACGCTAGGAACAGGGAAGCCAAGTCTGGACCACTGCTCTCCAGCCTGTGGAGGAAGAGTGCGGCAGGCTCCGGGGCTACCTCCCCGGCTCTCCCTGGCTGTGTCGGCCCCTGCCAGTCTGCCACCCACTCACCCCACACTTCCACTACCTGCTGGCCAAGGGAACGGACTCCAGCTTTCTTGCCTTTTGTGGGTCACCCACT